GTATACAGTCCCCCCCCCCCCCCCCCCCCCCCTACTCGATTAGTCCTCATACTATAGAGAAATGGGGCTAACTTGGAAAAGCATTGAATCACAGGGGCTGCTTGGCAAAATATCTCAACCACAATGAGTAGGATGCACCTAGACAAGCACCCTGTCCACTATTAGCCCGAGCCAGAGTTTCTGGGACTCTTATCCCTGGAGTTACCGCTACCCTGCTGACACCCGAGCACTCGAGATGTACTTGAAAGAACTTGCCTCTAATACTACCTCAGAGTACAAGGTGTCCTCAGTAGGTCCTGTGATGTGGAATGGGAGATCACAATAAAATAAAAAGATCGGGAGACTACTATGAATAGCATAGGTTGTAAGCATTATATGACTTGGACATTGTTTTATTTATCGTTTTCTATTCATGATATTGTTATCATTGTATCATTGGATGCTTTGATGATGGAGAAGAATACAAGGCACACTTTTTTCCTACAACTGATATTCTACTGTTAAGAACTTCTCGTGCATGTCCAAAATGGTTGAAGCAAACACCCATGATCTGGTGTAAAATCTAAAATTAGTTAAAGGAGAAGAATCCCACAAAATGACATATATAAAAAAAACCAACCTTCGACAATATCACAAAACAAAACAACTATGGGCAATGTGTAATTTCATTTAGCTACCCTATACCCAGTAAATAACTTACAACTAAACTCAACTTAACTTAGGCCTAAGATGGATCAAGATAAACCTAGGTTAGATCTAGGTCTAACCTCACTTGGATCTAGCTCAACTTGACTCAAGCCAAGAACCCATCCTCGGCCTAGCCCAAGTAAGACATAATCGAACCTAACTTAGGATTGACATAGGTCCAACCCAATTCGAACCTACCTCAATTCAAACTGCAGTCATAAATTGAACTAAACCTAATCTCAATCCAAATCATAGGCCCAACTTAGTCCAGACCTGGCTTGACCAAGACACTAAACTCAACATAACTTAGACCTGACCTATCTCAGACCTAGTTCAATTTAATCTCAACCCTAGCTAGGTGATCCCCGAAAATATAGTTGTGTAAAATTTATAAAGTTGACTCCACTTTACAACGATTCAAAATGTTAAAAACTTGATGTGATATTTTATGAATAATAATGTTAAGCACTTAATGTTGGGATTCTACGTAAGTATATGTATCGTTATCAGGTGATACAAGAATTTCTATTTAAGTCCGAAATATCGATCCCACGAGGAAGGTTTAAATTTAAAATGATAAATTAAATAAAAAATTCACAGAAATAAAACGAAATTACTGTTGCTAATTTCGAATGTTTGAGATACTATTAGAACTAAATTATTAAATGCAAAGTTTAAATAGTACTTACTAAACTATGTTTATGTGATAAAGTTTTCTAATATGAAAAAACATCTTTCCCACTACAATGAGTTTTTGGTGAAATGAGATGAAACAAATGATTTAAATATGTATTGTGCTAAATAGGAGCAATTTTAATTCTCTACTCTGATTCAGTGTTATATAAAATCATTGGTTAATCTCACGTTTAGTCCCTAAATCCGTGGATAGGCTAGGAGGATACTGACTCACACTTCAAAGCTCTCACTTCCCTTCACCCGAAGGCTAACTCTCGCTTTAGTTTTGAAACACTAAGACCGAATTGGGGATTTTATTCTCTCACCCTAAAGATTCTCCAATTCTATACCCAACAAAGAATATTTCCCTGTTTATTTGCACTTAATTTCATGAACAAATTTCACCTCCATGAAATCAAATGTGATCCTCACTCTGTTGTATAACTCATACTCTATTTCCCGGATCATATGTTTCACAAAATATTTTAACAATTCAATTAGCCAAATCGAAAAGTAAATTAAGAACAGAGTTTAAAAACCATCACAATTTATTTTATATTTTTATTTTAT